CCCCCCCCCCCAGACTCTCCCAGTCTGCCTTCGCTTCTGCAGAGCTGGAGGCATCGGGTAATTCCCCCCCCCGTCCAGCCAGTGGGGTCTCTGCTGCAGAGGGGGGGCTGCTTTGTCCAGCTGCTGATGCCATCCCGGGGGGGTGTCTGTGCCCCTCCTAGGCGGAGGAGGTGAGGTAGCTGAAGATGGAGTCCTGGCAAATGGAGGGGGGAGGTTAGTGGCAGACGTATGTGACCCTCCCCCACCCAGAGACACCCCCCCCCAGCACCCCCATGAGGGAGGGGGGCAGATGGGGGAAGGACTGCCAGGGGGACAGCGGGCTGCGCCTGTGGGTGGAGGGAGGGGGTCCCTTCAGGGTGGGGGAGGGGTCCCAGAATGGGGGAGAGGAATCTCTGGGGTGGGGGAGGGGTCCCAGGGAGGATGGGGGGAGGGGTCTCCGCACTCACCCAGCCCCCCTGGCGCTGGATCCAGGGGGCAACTCGCTCCCACAGGAAGTTTAGGGCCCAGTCGACCAGGGACCGGAGACAGTCAGACCCACCCAGAGCCTGGGGGAGAGATTGTGTGTGTGTGTGGGGGGGTGAGCGGCCAGCTGGGATCCCAGCCCCCACCCCCATCTGGGGAGAGAACCCAGGAGTCGTGGCTCCCAGCCCCCCCGCACTCTAACCAACAGACCCCCCCCCTCCCCTCCCAGAGCCAGGGAGAGAACCCAGGCGTCCTGGCTCCCAGCGCCCCCCGCTCTAACCAACAGACCCTCCCCCCTCCAAGAGCCGGAGAACCCAGGTGTCCTGGCTCCCAGCCCCCCCTGCTCTAACCACTAGCCCCCACTCCCCTCCCAGAGCCGGGAGAGAACCCAGGCATCCGGGCAGCGGGCACAGTCCCCCCCCTCCCCCCATTACCTGGGCAATGACCCTGTAGGTGAAGTAGAAGAAGACGACGACTCTGCCCCAGTTGATGCCATCACGAAACACCTCCTTCGAGACCGCGGCCAGCGCCGGCAGGGGGGGCTGCCCCGCCATGCATTGCACCAGGCTACAGGGAGAGGGGGCATCAGCGAGGGGCTGCAGGTCAGGAGTGAGGGGCACCAGCAGGTCTGAAGGGGGGGGCTGCGGGTCGGGAGTGAGGGGCACCAGCAGGTCTGGGGGGGGGGGCTTCGGGTCGGGGTCTCCTCACCTGTCGATCTCGGGGTTCTGGCTCATGCTCCCCCATATCCGGTGCAGAGTCTCACGCAGGGACGTGATCCGGGGCCCATCGGGGGTGTCCTGGCCCCCCAGCTCCTCCATGGTGACCGACCGGGCCGGGGGGGACCCGGGGCCCTGCTGCTGGAGCAGGGACCAGACGAACCTGGAACGGAACCAGCGGGGGCGGGTTACCGGGCCGTGGGGGGGGGCAGAGGAGGGTGTTGGAGAGGGAGGGGCCTGTCGGAGGGAGGGGTTCAGGGGGTGGGATCTGGGAAGCTGGGGGTGCAGGAGAGAGACTCCAGGGGGCTGGGAAGTACTGGGGGGAAGGTGGGGGTGCAGGAGACTCCAGGGGGAGGGGGCTGGGACGTTCTGAGTGTGAGATAATCTCGCACGGACCGGGGGAAGGGCCGGAAGGAGGTTTCATTCACTCCCAGCCGGGTTCGGAAGAACTGGGACTGACCAGAGCGTGGGGATGCCGCCGGCTTTGTTCAGAGCAAGGGGGGCTGTTTGCTCAGGGCTCGGGGTGTCAGCAAACCAGGCTTGTCTATTGCTACAGCTTTGAGTCAAAGTTCAAAACAGGAGTCGGCGTATTTAGGAAGACGCTTGAGGGAACTGGTATTATTGTCTCTCTGGCTCTTGGCAGGTTGTGGTAACCCGCAGCTGAGCTGTTCAATGGGTAAATGACCCTGTGCTAATT